AGAGTTGGTATATCTATACAACTGCACACCCCATGCCACAACCGGCTTTTCGCCACACATGTTGCTGTTCGGACGGGAGGCTCGACTCCCCCTTGACTTGTTCCTAGGAAAAAAGGAGAGTATGACTGGCTCATACACTGCACTGGAATATGTGAATGAACATATGAGACGAATTAGAGAAATGTACAGGGTAGTACAGGAAAGACTAGAACATGAAGCACGGCGAAGGGAACCGCCGGTACAGACAAAGGACCCGCCACTCAAACTGAACGACAGGGTATTACTGCGTAGCCACCCGTTAGGCAGAAACAAAATCCAAGACCTCTGGGGACAGGAGATATGGCAAGTCGTGGAGATGCCTAAAGTAGCAGGTGGCCCCTTTAAGATAAGACCCATCGATCACACCAAACCGGATCGGTGGGCGAATATTGCTCAATTAAAGAAATATTGTCATAGTCAAGAAGAGCAGTTACACACAAGGAAATCCAAGACAATTAGGGAACCGGAAACTATAACGGAAATTCACATACCCATCCCGGAACCATGTCACCATCAACAGCGCAACAGCGATACACAAGGGGAGGATACCGGCAACAAGGAGGATCCCGGTCCCTCCAAAAGCAGAGAGACAGTAGACCATCAGTTAAGTGGTCCGCGGAGAAGTTTGAGAAACAGAAAGAATACGAAATTTTTTGTCAGCAACCATCAATTCTTTCATGGTCGCGCTGGTATGAGAACAGACTGTTCAAAAAGTCATAAAAGTGAACTGGTGAAGGCACCAGACGAAAAAAGGTGGATGTGAATTCTAGAACTGTTTTGTGTCTGAGGAAGATGATGTAGACACATTTGATATGTGAAATAGGGATAACGGTCAATCTTATACGAATGTGACGACATTGACAGTGAGTGGAACAATGGATTTTTTTTTACGGTGGTGCGATGGACTTTGAAGGACTGCACCTGCCGGGCGTTGTTTGTGGTTGATAACACACAAAAAAAGGCAGGGGTGGATGTAACTAGGGGAAGTTACCAGACATAAGAAAGCGGTACAGCGCTGTCAACTTTGACACGACTGATGTAATAACACAGGTGGTGGCTGATAACGATCAGAAAGCCAGGGCGTAGTATCTCGGGAAGCGATACGAAAGACGGTCTGTCAACTTTGATGTGACAGGATGCAGATGGCTTATTAAATCGGACTGTACAACAGAAGCGGCGTAATGCAACGATTACGATTACGAGTATGATAGGACCGAATATGATTACGATTATGAAGGGGATAAATAAGGAAGGCGACGGCTGAGCTCGCAGTCTCTCTCTCTCGCTCGCTTTTCGATCAGTGAGTCAGTGTGGCAGTATCAAGTTGGTTATTGAACGGGTTAGCCGTATTGTGTTAAGAAGGACGTTAGACATGTGTATTCAGTTAGATGAAGCCTAGTGAGGACTGTTGGGGGTCCGTTGATTCAGACTATTATTGTGAAACATCTCTCTTGATTCATTATATTATCGAAGTGTCTATTCACAGCCGGCTGTGAATAGCCGTATTGGGGCTATTCACAGTCGTGACCGTTTTTGATAGATTTAATGTTAAAAATATCAAATTGGGTAAGAAGATGTGTGGTCGAGTGGTCATAGGGTTAGGCTGTCATGCCAGAAGGTGGGGGTTCAAATCCATCAGATGCCATTTGGTCTGACCCTTAATGAATGCCTCATATTGTTATTATCAAAATATTTTTTTACAATTAGGTCTAGATTCTACTTGAGTTACTCATGGGAGGGTTATTTTTGTTAATTTTTTTTTGTTTGTGACGTAATTGTTGGCATATCAGCAAAAAAAAAAAAGACCTGTCCCGTAGATTTTTGCTAAGAGAAAAAACAAAAGTGTGATGGAAACTGAATAATAGCTGATGAAAAAGGACATCCTATTTCACCTGATATTTATTCTAGATCTAGATTCTATGTGATAATGTGAATTTTTAATGGTAATTGATAGTTGAATAGCAATGTGAACAACCAAATAAACTGATGCTTAATTAGTATTATTCATTTAAAAATTACTAGATCTATTATTCTAGTGTATAGATTTAAAGTGTAAAATTGATCATCTAATCATCCTTGACCTACGTAGCCTGTAGCAGATATGTATGATATGAGCCTAAATAAAAGTTAAACTAAATTTTAACGGTAATAACTTTTTTATAAAGATATAACAAAATAAAAATAACACTGCTCTCTTAATCTATACCTCATTCCCCAGTCACAATAAATGCTTATATTATTTTAAGATATTATTCAGTCGTATTTAGTATGAAATGACAGCCGACTGTGAATAGCCGTATTGGGGCTATTCACAGTCGGCTGGGAATAGCCCCAATACGGCTATTCCCAACCGGCTGGGAATAGCCATGGCCTTATATTATTGTGAAGCATTCTTTGATTCATGTAATAAAAGGATCAATAATGAACCTGCATCTTCGAGTATCTATGCTGTGGTCAATGTTGTGTGGAATGAGTGGTTAGACTCGGGAAGGTCACATTTGGCGTTGTCGGCAGGGTAGCCAGAGACTCGTTACAATTGGCGTTGTCGGCAGGATAGACTCGGGGACTCGTTACATATAGATTGTTTAGTTTGTATGTAAATTAGGCACAGATTGCAAGGCTTTATGTATCACGAGAAGGAAAAATCGTTACTGCTTTACAGTTTAATGTAAATTTTCTTCTTAAATACGTTTAGCTTATTCTCATTTTAATGAAACAAAATACTGCAAGTTTATTGTTACTAGTATGTATTTTAATTATAAATTATTTTTTTTTAAATTAAAATATTTAATTTTAATTAATCAACGACGATTTTTTTTAAAAACTGTGAACGGACATAAAATGAAATACGAGACTTGACTGCTCTTTTTTTTCCCCAGATGAGCGTGGCATGAAATCCCAGTCCCATTCCGGAACGGAGTAAAAGAGCGGATTTGTAAATTCCACAAATGGAGCGCAACAAGCTGAACGGGGTGGCCTCCCTTCCCCTGGAGGACTACGGCAGCACAGCCAGCTCATCCGTCGCCAGACCGCGGGAGGACCAAATACGGATCATGCACGAGGACCAATTAGTGAGTAGTCCAGATTTTTTTCTGTCTCTCACTTACATTTTTTTTTTTAGTTTCTTTCCTTCGGATATTCTTTTAAGGTCTAATTAATTTTTGTCTTAGTTTGTGTCAAGCTAAAACAAAAATATTATATATATATATATATATATATATATATATATATATATATATATATATATATATATATATATATATATATATATATATATATATATATATATATATATATATATTTAGACCGTTGCCATAGTGACGTAATTTATCGTCTAATCAACTTTTGTCTTAGTTTGTGTTGAATGAAACAAAAATATCAACATTTTATTTTTTTAATGTAAGGTACTATTGAATTTTGTGGACATGTGTCGTATTTAGGCCGTTGCCATGGCGACGATCAGAAAACATCATCACCCACAATTGTTGAACTCGTTTTTCAGTCATGAAAATGAAATTTTGTAAAAATAGAAATTAAAATTTAGACTCTAAAATCAAGATAAAATACAGATAAAATTAAATCTGTTTTTTGTTTAAATCTCTAGGTCTGATAGTTGAGTACAAAAAATCAATATAACCATTCCACTTTTATGTCGGTTTATTTTGCTTTAATAGCATATGGGACAGACACCATTAAACACATGTTTAAACTTTTTTGTTGTTATTTCTGAATATAAACAATTTTTTGTGAGAGCTATTGCATAGGCTACACAAGTTCACTGTACTATTAAAAATTAGTTATTTTTATAATTATCTTTTTAAATAAAAAAAATTTTATTAGATTTTCTTTTTTTCGTGAATCTTAAAAATATACTTTTATAGGTATCTGAATGGTTTTACGTTTTTTTCGTATGAAACAAAATACGTCTATATAAGGTACCTATCATGTTGTATTCACTATTTATTCTCTCTAAACCAAGTCACTAAATAGTCCAAATTTGCTTTGATCGTTAGCGTTCACTATATTTGATGTAAAGCAATAGTATTTTTCTACCACAAAAATATGAATGTAAATATTCAGTCAATTACTTCCTCTATCTCTTTTCCCTACCCACCCACTCATACCCCCCCCCCCCCCCATCACACCAAATCATAAGCCATAGCACATGGCCATGACCCTGCCGGTCGTTGTGGGAAATCATGCCGTGCTGCTGGTGCCGTATTGTGTTAACTGGTTCCTGTGTACGGTAGAGTGAATGGAGGATTGTTTACTGTATCACCACAAAAAGGACAAAACCCATATCAGAGTTGGAACATCTGCCTAGTTTTTGTATTCGTTTCTTGGGTGGGAAGGCATAATTAAATCTCAACACACACACACATACACACTCACTTATATATATATATATATATATATATATATATATATATATATATATATATATATATATATATATATATATATATATATGATATATACATACACATACACACTCACTTATATATATATATATATATGTATATATATATATATATATATATATATATATATATATATATATATATATATATATATACATATATATATATACATATATATATATATATATATATATACATATATATATATATATACATATATATATATATATACATATATATATATATATATATATATATATATATATATATATATATATATATATATATATATATATATATATATATGATATATATGGCAAACATATATATATATGATAAATATGGCATGCATATATATATATATATATATATATATATATATATATATATATATATATATATATATATATATATATATATCTTCCAAAACATCTTGAGGATGATTCACCCCTTCTTATTCAACCCCAAGATCCACTTATGCTTATTGGTCAAGGTTCCTGCAAATAATCTCCGTCCCCACAACTTATCTGTCTGTGAGATTCATGGTTCCCACGAGATCCAACAAGATGAATGGTGTAACGGTTTAGACTTGTCCAATCCTCCAGCTACTACTGCTAACGCCGTGTTGGTCTCCGTAGATTTGGTGTACATAAAACCAGTGGAGTTGGTGTACATAAAACCAGTGGAGTTGGTGTACATAAAACCAGTGGAGTTGGTGTACATAAAACCAGTGGAGTTGGTGTACATAAAACCAGTGGAGTTGGTGTACATAAAACCAGTGGAGTTGGTGTACATAAAACCAGTGGAGTTGGTGTACATAAAACCAGTGGAGTTGGTGTACATAAAACCAGTGGAGTTGGTGTACATAAAACCAGTGGAGTTGGTGTACATAAAACCAGTGGAGTTGGTGTACATAAAACCAGTGGAGTTGGTGTACATAAAACCAGTGGAGTTGGTGTACATAAAACCAGTGGAGTTGGTGTACATAAAACCAGTGGAGTTGGTGTACATGAAACCAGTGGAGTTGGTGTACATAAAACCAGTGGAGTTGGTGTACATAAAACCAGTGGAGTTGGTGTACATGAAACCAGTGGAGTTGGTGTACATAAAACCAGTGGAGTTGGTGTACATAAAACCAGTGGAGTTGGTGTACATGAAACCAGTGGAGTTGGTGTACATAAAACCAGTGGAGTTGGTGTACATAAAACCAGTGGAGTTGGTGTACATGAAACCAGTGGAGTTGGTGTACATAAAACCAGTGGAGTTGGTGTACATAAAACCAGTGGAGTTGGTGTACATAAAACCAGTGGAGTTGGGTGGTACACGACAGAAAATCTGATTCCTTGTTCGATAAATGTATTGGGTGTACGCTGAGTGCCGTGCGAGTGTATAGTTGATGTATATTTGATGTTTATTTGATAGATTGTTTGGGTTTAGGTTTCAGATATTGATTATGTCTGCGTCTGTAGGTGTGTGGGTGGGTATGTGTGTGTGTTTATCGTAACAGTTGCGCTATGCTTAATATACTGACTCGGCTATATTTATTCTAGCTTTTATAATACAGGAATTAGTTTGCTGGATTGGTGTATTTATTTTTTCGTTAAGCTGGTTTTTATAAAACAACATCTGGCGTTCTTGTTTTGTTGCCCATGTATTGTACATGGAATTCAATGCTGCAATCCCATATTGGTCTATTGGAGTATGGGTCCATATTTTGTTTAATTTTAATTATTTATGGTGTTGGTTGTGTTATTACTAATGCATTTTGGGGTATATTTCTTGTATTGTTTATGTTGTGATTTTAAAGTGTTGGAATTGTGTTTAATGTATTGTCAGGCTAAAAGTTGTATGTGGGCACATGATGGATGATAAATTATACCTATTATCTATCGTGCTTGTATGTCTAAATTGTAAAGCAAATTACAAAAGCTGATTGGTATCAGTGCTAATTTTAAAAAGTTGAAGCAAGTATGACCCGAGCGTCAACCCCTCGACAACCAGACTTTCTTGTTGGCAGATTGGTCAAACACCTGCACTGAGAGAACCCACATTTTAATTAGAATATTATAATCCTAGACGTCACGGGTACATGTAAGTAAAAGGGTAACTTGCGCCTTGTATGATAGTGTCATCCTCCCCCAAACCCCACCCAACCCAACCCAGGACAACCAGGGTTGTCAATGTTGCTGGCATCCTGTAAACACACCCAGACGAAACCATACTACCCCCGCTACAAGAACCTACCCTTGACCTTCACCTTCACTTTTGGTGCTTGTCGTCTTCTCCTGAAGTCCGGGCTGTTGACGTTTCATTGGCTGCTGGTTTCTGTTGCGCATGCGTAGATACACTTCCGGTCTACTCAATTCCTGGTTTTACACTATATCTGGAATCATAGTTTAATGTAACTTAATATACAATGTCCCTTTTTTAACTTGACGGTATGTGAGGCAAATAGAGTCCCCGTGTTTCCGTGACCTCGGCACATGATGGGGTAGTGTAGTCAACACTATGCACATCAGCCTTTATTTTCTCTAACGTGAGTTAGGTACCCATCAGAGCTGGGTAGACTCAGGGACGTTCTACTGACTTAAACCCGCATTCGAACTCGATACTTGAGAATAAGCAGTCTGGCGCTCTACAGCTAGGCCACGCCGTTCTCACGTAACTTTATATAACGAGACATAAATACTGTTCATCATCCCATTAGCCACAATATCAAGGAGATATATATCTATTCCTATACAGTGAAATCAACAGCTGTTGCCTAACACTGAAATCTTTGATCAATATTCATCGTGTGTGTTCCAAATGTTTACAAATACGTCGAATTGTTTGACGTTTTTTTTTAATATCTAAAATGTTTTGTTTTTATCTACAGTAATGTTGGTTTCATAAAAACATGTAGTGTTAATATGTATGTGAAGAGTGTCGCTGTAGTGTGATCGTGCGCATGACAGCACTGAGAATGGTTCAGTTGAAACAGGATAGGTATCTGAATTGAATTAGTGATAATAAATTTGGGCACTCTAGAGTTTTCGTCATGGATATTTTTACAAATGGTGTCAGGTATAATACGTCATAATCAGAAAAAACTACCGGTATTTTAACCGACCTCTTGTCCCTAAATCCTTAACATGTTTGGTTTCGTGACAACCGGACACAATCTTGAGAAAATTTTTTAAAATAATTTCTTTTTTTAGACAAATACAATACTTTTAATGCAAGATCAAACAACAATATTTAGTACTGAAATATGATTCTAAATTAGTCTCTACTTCTCCTTACTGTTATTGCTACCTAAGAATTTGTATGAATGTTTATCTTTTTTTTTCTCCCTAGACCCGTGTTTAGATTTTGATGAAATCGGAACTTCCCAATCGTCGTGCAATTATTTCCCAGCAACGCTGAAAAAAATTGTTTAAAAAAAAATTGTTTCTGAGTACGTTTAGGCGCGCGTGGCTAATGACGTGTGTACGTTGGCGCGTGCAAAACATGTCAACACAATATGCACGTGAGTAGCTCACACACACAATATGCACGTGAGTAGCTCGCACACACGACAATGCACGTGAGTAGCTCACACACACAATATGCACGTGAGTAGCTCAAACACACGACAATGCACGTGAGTAGCTCACACACACGACAATTCACGTGAGTAGCTCACACACACACGACAATGCACAAGAGTAGCTCACACACGACAATTCACGTGAGTAGCTCACACACACGACAATGTACGTGAGTAGCTCACACACACGACAATGCACGTGAGTAGCTCACACACACGACAATGCACAAGAGTAGCTCACACACGACAATTCACGTGAGTAGCTCACACACACGACAATGTACGTGAGTAGCTCACACACACGACAATGCACGTGAGTAGCTCACACACACGACAATGTACGTGACTAGCTCACACACACGACAATGCACGTGAGTAGCTCACACACACGATAATGCACGTGAGTAGCTCACACACACAATATGCACGTGAGTAGCTCACACACACGACAATGCACAAGAGTAGCCCGCACACACGACAATTCACGTGAGTAGCTCACACACACGACAATGTACGTGAGTAGCTCACACACACGACAATGCACGTGAGTAGCTCACACACACGATGAGCCCTAGGCCATTACGTCATGCCTCAACACATAGAGTACCACATTTTCTACAACACACCACCACATTCTCTTTAACAATTTTCTCAATTATAAATAGAACACTACATCAAAGCGTGTGTTACATTTCAAAAGTTTTTTTTTACAAATTGAAACATGATGCAGCAGTGAATAATTAATCAAACCCTGCGTTAATTAATTGCACATATATTTAATTTTCTCTTTCGCAATATCAAATGTACACATGTATTGGACTAGTAATACCTGTTTTTACTGACAAAGTATGTAAAATTATACACATTATACACATACCTGCTCACATATGATGGTATCACAATATGTCTTGCGTAATGTGCTGACCATTAAACATACAATCAGAAGTGGCGAGAGAATTAGAAGTATTGGGATGAAAATTACCACATGGTTGTTTGCCTATAAGTCAAGATATGGCTTAAACTAACTTGTTTTGATTGAATAGATCGATATTTTAAAGTAATTTTATTGCAAAGAAGTTAACAAAGACTCTTATTTGTTAAAGAACTTATTTTATAGTTTACCCTGAACGGTGTTTGAAAAACTTAATCTGACTTCAAATCACATGTAATATAGCAGAAAGTCATATTTTTTTTTATTTCGGAGTCAGAGGCAGTGTTTCTTCCAGACTTTATTTTCTCCCCGGGGGGGGGGAAAGAGGGTGCACTTGAAATTTTTCGGGGGGTAGGGGTGGGAGCGGACTAACATTTTCGGGGGGGGGGGGGCGGACACTGTTAGATTTTGATGAAATCGGAACTTCCCAATCGTCGTGCAATTATTTCCCAGCAACGCTGAAAAAAATTGTTTAAAAAAAAAATTGTTTCTGAGTACGTTTAGGCGCGCGTGGCTAATGACGTGTGTACGTTGGCGCGTGCAAAACATGTCAACACAATATGCACGTGAGTAGCTCACACACACAATATGCACGTGAGTAGCTCGCACACACGACAATGCACGTGAGTAGCTCACACATACAATATGCACGTGAGTAGCTCAAACACACGACAATGCACGTGAGTAGCTCACACACACGACAATGCACGTGAGTAGCTCACACACACGACAATGCACAAGAGTAGCTCACACACGACAATTCACGTGAGTAGCTCACACACACGACAATGTACGTGAGTAGCTCACACACACGACAATGCACGTGAGTAGCTCACACACACGACAATGTACGTGACTAGCTCACACACACGACAATGCACGTGAGTAGCTCACACACACGATAATGCACGTGGAGTAGCTCACACACACAATATGCACGTGAGTAGCTCACACACACGACAATGCACAAGAGTAGCCCGCACACACGACAATTCACGTGAGTAGCTCACACACACGACAATGTACGTGAGTAGCTCACACACACGACAATGCACGTGAGTAGCTCACACACACGATGAGCCCTAGGCCATTACGTCATGCTCAACACATAGAGTACCACATTTTCTACAACACACCACCACATTCTCTTTAACAATTTTCTCAATTATAAATAGAACACTACAGTCAAAGCGTGTGTTACATTTCAAAAGTTTTTTTTTACAAATTGAAACATGATGCAGCAGTGAATAATTAATCAAACCCTGCGTTAATTAATTGCACATATATTTAATTTTCTCTTTCGCAATATCAAATGTACACATGTATTGGACTAGTAATACCTGTTTTTACTGACAAAGTATGTAAAATTATACACATTATACACATACCTGCTCACATATGATGGTATCACAATATGTCTTGCGTAATGTGCTGACCATTAAACATACAATCAGAAGTGGCGAGAGAATTAGAAGTATTGGGATGAAAATTACCACATGGTTGTTTGCCTATAAGTCAAGATATGGCTTAAACTAACTTGTTTTGATTGAATAGATCGATATTTTAAAGTAATTTTATTGCAAAGAAGTTAACAAAGACTCTTATTTGTTAAAGAACTTATTTTATAGTTTACCCTGAACGGTGTTTGAAAAACTTAATCTGACTTCAAATCACATGTAATATAGCAGAAAGTCATATTTTTTTTTATTTTGGAGTCAGAGGCAGTGTTTCTTCCAGACTTTATTTTCTCCCGGGGGGGGGGGGGGAAAAGAGGGTGCACTTGAAATTTTTTCGGGG